AAAAAGGAATTCTGTATGGAGATGAGTCAGAAGATAATGGCAATAGTTGCACTGAATGAAGATTGCAATCAGCGGTCCGTGAATTACACTTGCAAACATGGCTACATGGTATCTTCAGCCTGAAAAAAAAAATCAATAAATTAGATTCTTTAAAATAAATAAGTTGGGTTATTCGGGAATAACCCAAATGAAAAACAAACAAACAAAAACAACCCCATAGAGCCAGAATTTGAAATGTAACCTATAGAGCGTTGTATTCTGATGACTGCTTTTGTATGTCACTGGCGTCTTTCTGTGATTTGTGAACAAGAATCTTAGGATATCCCTACGTCAAGGCACTGGAATTCTGTACACAATAACAACTATTCCTAACATATTATAAAATACAGGTAGGCCCTGACTTACACAGGGGCAGTCCCCTCTGGCTACTCTATAGTAAATTGCTTCTGCAGTAGATCAAATACTTCATCATTTTCTTTCTTAGTTTTCATTATAATTGCCTTTGGTGATCAATATCCTTATCAATCAGATCTGGATTTGTTGTTTGGGGTTGGAAACATTACATGTAAACATTGGCACATCAGCAAATTATGTGCTGTAACATTGCATGGAGTAAAATTTGGAGTAAGGGTGGGAGGGACAGGGAGAGGTCATTGATGTGCCAATATGGTAAGTCAGGCACTGCCTATAATAATATCAAAAAGAGTTGGACATTCCTTAAAGGCCAAGTGGGGATTTTCTCTTGTGATTGAAATACTGGACAACCCGGCTCCCTAATATCTGCAAACATTCTCTTTTTACTGGATGTCGAAATACGTCCGTCAATTTTAAGTGGGAGTTGAAAGCCCCTCCAAACGGCCAGAGCACACAGAAAACACTCACGCTCACTTAACTTTGTGTTTTGTTAGTTTATTGTTTTTCTGTTTGGTTGAGCAGCTCCCTTTACTTTAATCTCCCTGGGCTTTGGGGTTGGGGCAGGTGGGAGGAGAGAATTCAGAGCTTCCCATCTCTGACTTCAGGGACAATCACTGCTTTTTGGAGCAAAGCTTGATCTCTCCCATCTACACTTCAAGGACAGCCACGGTGTGGGGGGTGGGAACTAGTTGTGACTGATATGGATCCTGCCTCTGAGGAATTCAGACTAAAGCCCCAAAGGGTTAAAAGGATTGACTGCTTCTTTCTGGAATTTACCCAAATATTCATTTTGCATTTTCCATGTAGGCTGAAACCCAAGAGGGCAGAATCGTTTTTTTTTCTTTCGAATAACTCTCGCCCTCCCAAATTCAAAATAACTGAGCAGGACAAGGGTACCACTGCTCTTATTCCTGGGAGCTCTGCAGCGTTGTCAGGTAAAAGTTGGCCTGTGACCGCCCATACTTGTGCTTGGAAGTCCCCAGCCAATCTGCAGGAGAAAGTGGAGGCTTTCTACTCCTGTAAGGGGTTACAGCCTGGGAAGCCCATAGAAGCAGTTTCTACTCTGCCCTATAGGGTCAGATGGAATAAGCTTGATGGCTTTGAGTTAGGATATTGTTCTGAGCCCTGATGATATGTATGTCATGGATTAGGCTGCTAATTTCAGGGTCAGGAGTTTGAAACCATCAGTGACTCTGTGGGAGAAAGATGAGGCTTTCTACTCCGTAGAGTTCCAGTCTCAGAAGCACATAGGGGCCGTTCTACCCTGTCCTAAGAGTCATTACAAGTCAGAACAGCATTGTGTAATACTTGTTAATAATCAGATTGGTATTATTGAAGAGAAAAGATTGTCCCCAAATAAAAACATTTTAGCCAAGATCAGCAAACCGCCCCAAAGAAC